GCTGAAAGTTTCATTCAGATAAACTTTTTACGCTCCTGCAAGTTTGACGATACGAATGAATAAAGAAGACACAGACAGAGGACACAGCTTCAGCCAGTGCAAGTGTGTAAGTGAGCACTAAATGAGGGTAACGCATTTTTGTCTCACCAGATGGCACCACTGTTGAATGAGGTTCAGCCAGCCTATTCTTTAACTTTTTCACTAAAGAGGAAAATCAACTAAAGAAAAAAATGCATATCCATCGATGCTTTTCAGATCAAGTATCATAGTGGCGTTATAATAAAGCAGTAGTGGATCACTAAATAGGTGATTATCACTTCATCTTTCAAAAGCAGTTAGCGATTCTGAAGTGTGGCTCTAAAACAAAACTGTAAACGTGGTAAACAAGCATACTTTTGTCAAAAAATGTTTACAATTAAATAGCAAACAAACTAACCTTTAAATTGGCTGTTCCTTCAGACCCTTTTTCTTATTGTTGGGAAAATGCTTGACGCATACCCAGCTCCTGGGTGAGAGGCGGGGTTATGTGGGACTCCTCCTACCCGCTCAGCCAAACTGGCTCAGCGGCTGCTCGGGACGAAGGGGGGGGGGGGCTACCCACTAAAAACCCAACAGTGCTTCCTCGCCTGCCGGAACGGGTTTCGTGAGATCCCGGTGACTCTCCACGTTACCCCCTTCAGGGGTTCCTCCTCCTCCTGGCAGTCAGGGGGATGCCCGGAAGCACTAAAGCATCCCCCCTCGACAGCCTGTCCGCCGTCTGCTAGCATCACTAGGGTGGAATGAGGCGATCGTACCGCCGCCTCCTCAGAGAGGGCCGGCCCGGGCGTCCTCCTCGCGGACCCTCTCCGCTGTCTCCTTCTGGAGGATAACTTCCTCACAGACGGAGACTACCGCAGTCCAGGATCTGTTGCTGTCCAGCATCGCTCTAACGACGCTGGACAGCGAGAGATAACTATATTAAAATATCGTTGTTCAGACTACTCAATTTTACACCTCTTTTACTTAGCTCCGCTTTTAAATCACTGACATTCATTGTACCCTTAATAACTCAAATTTGCCAGAGTTATTGTTAAATATTTTAATAACTACATAATTTTAATTAGAAAGGAAACCCCGTAGTCAACACACAAGCGCATGCAATGGCATTTGACATCTCGGAGTCTTCGCGCTACACAAACGCCCCTAGCGGCGTATTCATTACGCATTATTCGTATATAGTTCTGTCGTAATGAATTAGCTGACTGTGTGTCTATAGACAATAGCTTGATCGGCGATTATTAAGTTAAAAGAGGTTGCGGAAGATTTGTATGTGCAGCAGAAAGAGCGTACTTAATTATTTCTAATTAAAATATGTAGTGACTATTTGGCAATAACTCAGGTTAGATTAATTATGGAAAATATGAGTTATTAAGGGTCAATGGTGAATAATCATAGAAACGTTTCATTGGTTTGACGGACTCCGTGGCCGAGTGGTATGTACGCCGGGTTTCAAGGTGTCGCCTACTCGAGAGGTCCCGGGTTCGAATCCCGTAGGGGCAGATGTTTGTATGATAAATAAGAGCATTTTTACTCCATTCATGGATGTTAATATGTATTTCTTATACTCTATTGTACTTGTATTCTATCCATTTTTTTTGGGAAGGTGAAAATGCATTTACGCACTTCCCACGACGGGGTATGTGGGGCTCCACGGTGCACATCACGCCGTGCCGCGACTACCCACTAAAAACACCTCCTCCGGTTCCATCTTCACACGATGGGGGAAGGGTATCAGCAAGCCTTTGCCCCAAACCCCAACCGTGAAAGCGCCCTCTCGAACCCTCCTCTTTGCACTAACTCCCGTGTGCGTTGGCACGAACCGCGGGACGTTCTGGACTCGACTCGTATTGAGGAATCCGTCCGTCTCTCTCTGGGGGCATCACTCCCTAACTCGATGGGAAGCCATTTATAATGCGGGGCAAGTTCTTCCCTCCCGCAGGGCCACCTATGGGGCTAAAGTGGCAGCATAGTTGCGCCTTCTGCGCCCAGTTCGACGGCGTCTCATCGGGGCGGCTGAGGGGTCTACCTCTCGAAACCTCTCCTCTGTCTCCTTTTGGGCCATCACTGTCTCGCAAAATGTCTGCGGCGTCCCATGCATCCCTGCCACCAACGATAGCCCTTACCAACGACGGCAGCGACAAATCGCCTCCTACTGATATGTATTCTATCCATTGCCTTAGCATCCCATAACACTAGCCTACAGTGCTTACTTTGGGGCTAGGCTAATTGGTGCGTGTTGAAAATATTTATTTATTGGTATTTTAACGCGTACGCAATAAGAGCCAGTGCTCTCTGAGGCACGCGAAAGTATATCAAGCTTCGTCTCTGTACCTACTTTACTCATGTGGTGAAAGTGACCATTGTTATAGAGCCTCCGGTAAATGGTAATAATACGCGTGCTCATAAGCTTTCGACATTTCACTAATCGGTTTTCGTCAGCCGTGTTACGAAATGTAATGATTAAAAAAATATTAAGATTTAATATTTCGAGTGGTACGTACTGATTGTAACGTGGTTACGTTTTCTGTGAAAATAAAAATTGCATTAATGACGTGAAACACTCGATTGGAACGGTTAAAAATATTAAAACGCAGAGAACATTACAACCGCTGCGTGTCCATTATGAAAAGTTCTGAAGAATTATTCTCCCTTATCCCTCCATCACCTTTTCTTCAGAGGACCACGCGCGCTGGCCTACCTTGCCACCGACTTACTGTGGCCACTATTCCTATACGAACAAAGAAATTTGGTGACTCATTCCTTTGTCGTCTATTCGTAAGTGGAATTCCTTACCCGCGCACGTGTTCCCTCCTTCCTACAATCTGGAGTCCTTTAAGAGAGAGCATTTTTGCAGGCCGGCAAGGTGAGGTGGTGCGGCAGTTAATAACTGCTGTACCAGCTATCTTCCCGTTTGGGCTTTATCACCACTTAACATCAGGTGGGGTAGAGTCATTTGCCTACCTGGCTATAAAAATAAAAAAATGATGTGGTGTCGTGGGACACCAGGTAGGAACGAAGTTCCCTCATTTAACGGTTTTATTCCACGCACTTTTTTCCACGGATTTTTGCTTACGGTTTTACTATCACATTTTTTTCAGTTCGGTCGCGCAGCAAAATCACTTCGTTCCAAAAAGTTTATTATTATTATTAATATTATTATTATTATAAGTAATTCTTATTAATCAGTCTCGTCATCAAATTCTATTGATAGAAAGAGAAAGGTATTATACACTACTCGCTTGTGTATGCGACTGTCGCGCCTGCGCACGTCTCATTTAACGGTTTTATTCCACGCACTTTTTTCCACGGATTTTTCTTACGGTTTTACTATCACATTTTTTTCAGTTCGGTCGCGCAGCAAAATCCCTATCCTCTCCAAGCCTGCCGTAAGGAACTTCGTTGCAATAAAATCCATCACCATCGCTTTCTCTCCCAGCCATCGCCACCGATACTAGACAGCTAGCAACTTGCACGCTTTGCATTAGGTAGACACCACACGCCGCCGTAGGGCCTGCGAGGGAAACACCTAAGCAGCCCTTCCGCAGCGGACGGGGAGCGGTGCGGTGGGCAATAGGCCGCGCACTTAGCTCCTAGCGCGGGCAGTCCTGCACACGTCTGCGGGATCTCCCGAAATACCCCGGGAGATCCCTGCCGTGGAGCCCCGGCTAGGCCGGGAGGCTGTTGGGTGCGGAGACGCGGTGAAGTCCCTCAACGGCGATATCGCGGTTCCGCACTTAAACAGCGTAGAGGATATTCGCAGGATGTTTTTAGCGGATAGTATGCCGTAAGCGCTCGTAAGCCGCGTGGACTGCTTAACGGCTTATCCGTTTCGCACCTGTGAGACTTGCGAGAGGCCAGGTGTGAGGTCCGTTCGTTGGTGTGCCCCTTAAGGGTGCCAACGTCTATAAATAGAGGTTTTACCTGCGTAATAAAAAAAAAGGTAGACACCACACCCGTAGGATAAGAGTACGAAGAACCCGTCTATACACGACACGCTATATTTATTTTTATTATTTTCTGATTCACTGTTTTACAAGCTTTTATTGAATGCTTGTATGCTTTTTTAAAATTTGCCTTAAAGTTCTTTTTAAACTCTCCTTTACATACGAATAAATTATTTATTTGATTTTTATTAAATTAATTTCCAACGGTAACACTTGAATGGAAATCTTACCCTGCCAATTTAGGTGATAAATTGATTTCATCTCATCTCAATCACATCTCAATTCATCACCCTGTCATCACTACTATTATTGTAACTGAAACACAACATAACAAACTTGATATTATAAAATTGTCATCAGCACATTAATGTCCTCACAACGGGACACAGGACTGCCCCTCAGGTGGAATAGCAACAGAACTACAGCAAAAAAGCATAATTTTGTTAATAATTGATTATATGTGTGTTTTGGCAAAAAGGTTTGTGTCAAAAAACATAATCATGTAGATGCCACTTCAATCTTTTGTAAATCTCATCTTTACCTCTACTCGTCAATCACGTTTTTGTCTCATCTCAATCTCTTCTCGATTTGATCTCAAGCCAATCTTAATCCAAATTTGTTCAGCCGTTGTAGTGTGAAAGAATAAAAAACATCCGTACTTCAAACTTCTTCCAAACTGCCGCATTTATATTAACACTAGTTTAATCTGTCTTCGTGACAGTAGCGCCATCTCTATCGGGACCAAAAATGAAAATGATTAATTTAGTTGAATATGATGTAAATTCGAATACATAAATTAAAAAAAAGTAGCCTATAGCAGTCTCATAAGTTCAAGCTATACATATACCAAATTTCATCACAATCGGTTCAGCGGTTTAGGCGTGAAGAGAAGACAAACAAACAAACAAACCCACTTTCCCATTTATAATATTAATTATGGATTATGGATTAGTTAAGATAAGTAAGAGTTGCCTGTTTCTCTTCAAGTTTTTTTCACTTAATATTTTGTGTCTACAGATAGAACGCGAGGTGATACTGTCTTCAGGGGAGAAGAACTCGAAGGTGCCTATCCTGCAGGAGGCCCGGAAGAGAGGCAGGCTCGGCGCAGTGGCTCCCGATACTCCGCCTAAAGCACTCTCCGCCTGGACTCATGTAGAGGTAAGAGAGAGCTAGTTCAATCGTTTATTTGAACGCTCAGATCTTAACTAAAAGTTCAATAATATAATTTAGATTCCCCGTCCAGTATGGGTGTCTTAGTGTCGCCGCACTCGGGCCACCGACCACAACCATAAAACGCCGCCACCGGCATATTTCATACATTTTATATGGGCTCGCCACACACGGTACGCCAGTGGCCGCCATACGCTACAAATCGTCGTTGCTCGCTTCTTGTGGCCCGCACCGGCCACTTAATGCGCCGATACAAAACGCCGCCACACGTCACTCGTGCGATACCCCACCCCTATCTCCCTTACCTTACTTACTTGTTACTTGTTGTGGGCCCCTGTTTCCGCACGTAGACTCGGTACTTGGTCCATTGTGCGTGCAGGGTATGTTTGGCTAGCAAGCTCAGCCAGCCCAGCTCCTTCCAGAAGCGCAATAGCCTCCTGGGGCTCTCACAGGCTTCTAGGAGCGTCCGCGGCTTCCTGAGGATTGATGCCCGGTGTTCTGCAACGCTCGTGCATTCCAGGATCACATGAGCGGCCGTTTCATCTGCTTCCAGACATCCTCTGCATAGAGAGCTATCTGTAACGCGTATGGGTAGTAAATGCTTGTTAAGTAGGCAGTGCCCTTACCTTATACCCGCCATACACACTACGAGAAATCGTTACGATCAGACAGTACAGTTCGAACGGTACAGTTTATACGATTTCGTTTAGTATAGGAAACTGTGCAGTTTTATAACATACACGCTACGATTTATCGGTACCGTTCGGACTGTACAGTCTAATCGTAACGATTTATCGTAGTGTGTATGGCGGGTATTAGTCGGCCGCTGTCGCTTGCTTCAGCCACTTTAGTAGCCCCTTCTAGCTTTTCGTGGCGGTGTTTGTGGCTGTGGCGTGTGGCCCGTGTGCGGCGCAACTTAATGTTAATATCGTCAATAACAAAATGGCCGACTACGCTCGGTTATAATGTTTCAAATATTCAATAACGTTAAAAGGATTTCCAAAACTATGAACAATACACAAAGAGAAGTGCTTTTAAAGACTGAATTGATAAATTAAGATATCATTTACTTATTCTTAAGTCTTCGTACTTACTAATGCTTATGATTGATAGCCGAGAGTTAAGTTAAATGTGCCATCATAATATTGTCCTCACTTTAAAATTTAAGCTTAATTTAAAAGCTCCGGAATTTATTATATTAACACTAGCTCACCCAGCGAACTTCGTACCGCAATAAAAAATAGGGGTTGGTGGTAGAAGAGTGAAAATTTAGGGTTGTATGTATTTTTGTATGATGTATCATAAAAAAATTAAAAAAAATATATATATCTAAAATTGAAAAAAAAAAATTAGGGGGATGAAAAATAGGTTACATCCGATTCTCAGACCTACTGAATATGCATATAAAATTTCACGAAAATCGGTCGAGCCGTTTCGGAGGAGTTTAACCACAAACACAGGGACACGAGAATTTGATTTTTAGTTTTTCCAGGAGAAAAAGTATCCTTTGTCTCAGTTCAGGTCATGAACTAAATACGTACCTTTCATCCAAATCCGTTCAGTAGTTTCTACGTGATTAAGTACATTTTTTTTTGTTATTATTTATTTATTTATTTCAATCCTTACACCTTACAGGCTTATCCCAATGCGATAGTGAAACTTTCATTCCATTCTTTTTTTATTTATTAAATCTTATCTGTATATAAAATTGGCGTGACATGTTAGTTACCATACTCCTCCGAAACGGCTTAACCGATTTTTATGAAATTTTATATGCATATTCAGTAGGTTTTCTGAATCGACTACTATCTATTTTTCATACACCTAAGTGATAAGGATTGTCCACCACTAACATTTTATTTTGAAATTTTTGGACATTTTTTTTTTAGTAATCTGGCTTAAAAATACATACAACCCTAAATTTTCGCCCTTCTTCCACCAGCCCCTGTTTTTATGTCAGCTAGTTAATTATAAGATTAATACATACTTTGATATTAAATAAAATTAATCCACTTAAACAACTAACTACATTTAAAACTTGCTTCGCGAGATCACTCCAGTTGCTCGAGAATATATCACTCATCTCATGAACTTTGTTCAATATAATAATTGTTCGGATAAGGGGAGATTTCGGCAATACATCACACGTCACAAACAAAAGGGTATCAAAAGCAGTGTTTTGAGATATCGCGTTTTGAAGTTTTAAAAAATCATAGAAGCGGAACTACTTGTTCAAATGTTTAAAATGCTACCTTGATTTAAACGTACATTATCCTTCTTTGTGTTGAGTAAGTTTAGTTAGTGTATCAATAGTAGTTTTTATTTTAAAAGTACTTTTATGTGACTGGGTAACTTGTATTAATTTCAAACTTGTATTAATCCGAACGGGCAATAGGGTATTAACTTAACATAATACCTACTGTTTAGAATACTCACAATCATAAATTTTGCCTAGAAATTGACGACATGTGTTGTTATAATTCAAAAACTATTTCGAATTAAAATACAATTATCTTACTAGTTTAAAGAAAGAAACATGTAGTTTAGAAAAACGCAAATAAAACAATAAATGGTTTTGCCGACTTAATACCCTATTGTTTGTGATGTACGATATATCTACACAATTTTACATTTATAATATTAGTTCGAGCACTTCGTAGAGTTTTTATTTTACAAAAAGCGTTATGCCTTATAAATAGAGGCATTAACTTAATGTACCGGTAAATCTAGAATCTAGGCTTTGATCCGGTTCAACAGAATAACCTACACGCGGTGCTTACAAAGATGACAAAATAACTGTTCTTAACGGATGATTGACCCAAATTGCTTGACGCCTATGACGACCATAGCATAATGCTTTCCGTAAAACTGATAAAAACATTGCACGCTATTTTTATAATAGGTTTTAAATAATGCTCATTTAACAGGGTAATTAACGGAGGTACGATAACTTCATACAAAAGATAGATAGATAATATCTTTCATCATCATCAGCCTATTAATGTCCCCACTATTGGGGCACAGGTCTTCCTATGTATGGAGTAGGGAGATTGGGCCATGACGCGGGCCCAGTGCGGATTAGCGGGTGCTAACGACTGCAGATGCAGCCGGGACCAACGGCTTAACGTGCCTTCCGAAGCACGGAGGAGCTCGTGGTAGTTAATTTTTTGGTCACCCGTCCAATGACCGACCACTGCGGAAGTTGCTTAACTTCAAAGATCGCAGCCGAACGCGCTAACCACTTACGCCATCGAGCTCCTCCAATAAAGATAATATCTTTATTCGGGAAATAATAGAAAAATATACATATGTGTATTGTATATATACGTTTTTCTGTGAAAAAACATGCGCTGAAAACTAGTTTGGGTTCAACTTACGCGCCGGCACTATACTTCCGTTTCATCGAATCTCAAGTCATAGCGATACTAAAGAAGTTTTCACTTCAAAAAGCTTTCAAATCAGATTTAGTAATTTCTTATTTTTTCAATGAAAAAGATAGATAATGAAATTTTGATTTTAATATGATGATTTACCAAAGATATTATGGACGTTACGTATATATACCTATATATATGACTTTTCAAATTTGAGACCCGTTACTTGTTTAAAAGCGTATAGTAAGTTGATAAGATACGCCTTCTAGAATCGGATCAAATACTAACAATAAGCCTTTTCTGTCACGGACTTATGCCCACTCGTTCTGGTCGGCAACCCCGAAGGTCGTCACAGGCTGTGGAACATCTTCCCGGTATTTGTTTCATAAAATTATACATTGTTATTAAACGTGACATTTTACAGTGTGTACACTGTGGTATGGAACAAAAGTCTAAAATAAATAAAGTTTTATATAAACTTTTAGAATAGATTATATAGCTAATAAAGCATTTGATATTTTAATATTTTACGTAAGTCTTCCTTATCCACTTTTCCGTGGTCACATCAAACAGAGATCCTGTTTGGCCCAGTTATAACTATTTCATGGAATAATATTCATGCAACTTATTATCCATCAGTTATTTTTATTTAAAGAATTATAAATATAGAGAAAAAGAATGACTCAGATCAGTGGATTCTCTGTGCTAGTAAAATTTTCTTTCTTTTTTTTATAGCCAGGTAGGCAAATGACTCTACTCCACCTGATTTTAAGTGGTGATAAAATCCAAACGTGAAGATAGATGGTACAGCAGTTATAAACTGCCACACCTACCATCCTCACCTTCATCAACAACCTATCTTAGTCCACTGCTGGACATAGGCCTCTCCAAATGCACGCCACTCAGATCGATCTTGGGCTACTCGCATCCAGCTCCTGCCAGCCACCTTGCGCAAATCGTCACTCCATCGCGCCTGAAGACGTCCTACACTACGTTTGCCTAGACGCGGTCTCCACTCCAGAACTCGTCTACACCAACGGTTATCGGTTCTTCGACAAATATGGCCAGCCCACTGCTACTTCAACTTGCTAATCCGGTGGGCTATGTCGATAACTCTGGTTCTCTGTCGGATTACCTCATTTCTGATGTGATCCTTCAGAGAAACGCCGAGCATAGCCCTTTCCATAGCGCGCTGAGCGACTTTGAACCTGTGGACCAGCCGTACCGTCAGTGTCCACATCTCGGCTCTGTATGTCATCTGATTGAAGACTTTCGTCTTTAGGGCTGTGGGATCGACGACCATCCTCACCTTGCAGGCCTGCAAAAATGCTTCCTCTTATTTTTAGGAAGGAATTGTAGGAAAACACAATTGTAGGAAGGAAAGAACACGTGTGCTATCAAATGAAACACAAATGTTAGTAATCCAAAAACTAAGAATACTTATTATGTCAGTTAACTCATCCTTTGTTTACTATGCAAAGCATAAGCCATCGGTAATGATCGGTTGAGCCGAACGACGTCCACTGTGTTCATTAACGGCTTATAAGCATTCCGTTGGCGACGCCAACAACGACGATACGGCGAAAACAACGGTGCGCACACGCGGATGCGCGT